CTGGCAAGTACGTCGTGCTAGTGAACATGTACACCGCGCGCGAGATGTGGGGCAGCGTGGCTGGCACGCACGCACGAGGCGGTGTGGACCCGGCCTGGAGCGCCCGGCGACATCTGTCGGGGCGTCAGCGTTGGCTGAGGAGGTACATGTATGGGTGTCTATAATATTTGTATGGGTGTCTTTATTTTAAATCCGAAACTAAAAGTATAGTTACTGGTTTTTATTTAAAATTGACACCTATAGATTCTTAAAGTGTCAGTTTTCAAATTTTTTTTATCCCATAGGGATAGGAAATGGTCAATAGGTGCCGATTTTAAATGAATTGGCACCCATGAGCCGACTCCTATTAAGATTTTTTCTATGTAGTGTGTAGAAATTCAGGAATACTTATATTTGTGGATGGACAAGAAGCTAGCGAGTGATACAATAATAGGCTTTCGGCAAAACTCCGTGGAGATTAGAAGCACTAATTAAACCTACACACAAAGAAAACATCAAAAATAGCTTGAAAAAGAAATCCAAAAAACAAAAAGACATGCTAACATCCTGTGTCTCTTGACACAGTTCCTGCTCAAGCTACCGCTACCACATTGCTAGTGTCACAATCACCTACATCACCATGAACCGACACATTCGCACATTGACGCTGACGCTTATAGAGCAGTGCACCACGCGGTCACCTCCCCATTGTCATACCTTAGCGTGTAGCGCCTACGATTCCGTTCTTTTATTCAACAAAAGATTTTCGTGACAAACTTTTCAAACTGCTAAACGATACGTTTCGTACAATAACTTTCTATATAAAAGTTTCTCTAATACATTATATTAATATATTTTTCAAATTTGTAATAATTAAAACTCAAACAATCATACTTTTAAAGGAACTTTTAAAGCAAATAGTTTTTGATTGGATACAAACTTTATAATCTTTTTGGAGCACCTTGTAACTTCTGCTTCTTTGTACATACTTTTTAATTTTAATGAAAATACATTGCTAGACAAAGCGCTGGTAGTTTTCCGGTAAAAAAAAGCGAGGGAGTACCATTTTGCGCCACATTGGTTGTTGAGGGTTATATAAGTGTTCGACCGGTATCACTTTTGCTCTCGGCCACCAGCATGGCGGCAGCACTGAAACGTCGTTCATTCACTGCACAACACCACACTCACTCATATGGCCACCTTCTCCGGCACCGACCGCCTCCGCGACCTCCAGGCCTTTGACGACACCAAGGCACTTTTGCTCTCGGCCACCAGCACGGCGACAGCAATGAAACGTCATTCATTCACCGCACAACACCACACTTGCCCATATGGCCACCTTCTCCGGCACCGACCGTCTCCGCGACCTCCAGGCCTTCGACAACACCAAGGCCGGTGTCAAGGGCCTCGTCGACGCCGGCGTCACCGCCATCCCCTACTTCTTCCGCCACCACCCTGACCCCCTCCCCATCGCCGCGCCGTCGGAGGCCGCCGCGGCCATCCTAGTCATCGACCTCGCCAAGGCCGACGTCGACCGTGGCCACGTCGTCTCCCAGGTGAGGTCCGCCGCCGAGTCGGCCGGCTTGTTCTAGGTGGTCAACCACGGCGTCGCCGGGGAGCTCATGGACGCGATGCTCGCGGCGATGCGGCGGTTCAACGAGCAGCCTGCCGGTGGCGTAGTGGCTTTCCGATCCCCACCTCAACCGGTCAACAAGGAGCCTCCAATAACTCCCTATTTAAGTTGAGATACTCCTCGTTTAATTCCTAGGGTGGTATTATTATCCTTAACATTTATTATGGGCCCTTGAGATTTAATAGAAAAATCGGGCCTAGCCCATTTATTCTAACAAATCCTTCAAAATGTATTGATTTCATAGAAATGAAAACATCCACTCTATCCTCTTTTAGTTAGTTCATTGAAGGAAAAAAATTATGTCCCAACACTTTATTTTGCACGTGTATTCATATATTATACATGTATTTTTTTCTATTCTTGCATCTCATGAGACACAATTCTTCCAAGAATGTCACTTGGAGTGAGTCTCTTGAAGTCTTTCCTTTCCCGTATCATTGATACAAGAGTAGGATTTCTTGGACCAAATGCACGGAGAAGTCTCTTGACCACAAAGTGATTTGTCATGTCCTCACTTCCAAGTCCTTTAATCTTGTTGACAAGAATCATCATCCTATCATACATCTATTGTGGTGTCTCCTTGTCATCCATCACAAATCTTCCAAGCCTTCCTTCCAAAAATTCAATCTTGGCCTCACGAACGGCGGGTGATCCCTCATGAGCCAATTGCAAAGTATCCCATATCTCCTTGGCCTCCTCTAGTCCATCAACCTTGTTGAACTCCTTCGGACTCAAGGCGGAGAGAATTGCATTGGAAGCTTGAGCATTGCGGTGGATGAGTTGTTCTTGCTCCGAAGTGAGCTCCATGTCTTTCATGAGGTACGTTAATACCTGTACAAACAACTTTCCAAATACTTGGATGCAAAGAGATTAGATGCAACTTCATCTTGTGCTTCCAAGCGGCGTAATGTGTCCCATCAAATTGAGGAGCACGCCCGGAAGGCACGGAGACGAAGTTGTGAGAGGGAATGGTAAGTTTGCTGTAATCAAAAGGTATAGTGGCTCCCTTGGGTGATGGAGTTCCCTTGCTGCTCGCTCCATCTTCATTACCAATTTCCCCGTCCTTTCCCCCTAAGTCCGACATCATGGATCACTCAAAGCGGTGAAACTTGAATCAAGAGCACCATGCTCTGATATCAATTGAACGTGCAGAGATGTAGCCTAGAGGGGGGGAGTGAATAAGCTTTCCTGAAATTTTCTCGACAAACGCAGCGGTTAAATTGACAGGGCCCAGAACTTCCTGGTGATGAACATCGGAACTTCCTGGCAGTGATGAGCAGCCCAAAACTTCCGGAGTTCTTGAGCCCAGAACTTCCGGGCAACAGAGATAAACGAAAATATGAGAAGAATAACAGGTCCTAGCTAGGGAAAATCAGGCACAGGGTTGCACAAGATGAAAAACACAAGATACCAGCCAATTCAAACACAGATCATGCACAAGAGAGACAAAGGCGATTTTTTCCCGAAGTTCGGATCACATGGATCCTACTCTCCGTTGAGGTGCTCAAAGAGCCGGGTCTCAATTAACTCCTTACCTCACTTATGCAAAGATTCCAGAAGAAATCCACAGCCTTCAACTCAACACTTCTAGGTCGTTTTCTAGAATTGAGTGACCACCAAGATCCAACTCACAATTCCTTCTAGAAAAGACCACAAGTGCAAGTTGCTCTACCTAGGACAACCTCTGAAAACTCAGCACAAGAATCTTTACTCACTTACCTCGTTTCCTTGCGGAGGTGAGGAAGACCTTCACAAACTTTCCCGGGACATCCACAAGATCTTTGGAAGCTCACGGGCGACACCTAACCGTCTAGGAGAAGATCTCCAAGAGTAATAAGCCCAAGTGATAGCCCACAAGGTATCCAAAGTGCTCAAACAAACCTAATCTTCAAGCCATCTCCAAAACACTCCTACACTCTCATCTAATCTCTCAATCTCACAAGATAGGCTCTAGATTTGAGTGGAGGAAGCAAAGGAAGCTTGGGAGTGGCTAGAAAACCCTAGAACATGAAAGAGCTAAAGTGGAATGGCCAAAGGGTGACCTGGGGACGAAATCCATATATATAACGGCTAGGTGATGTCATCTAGCCGTTACTCACAAGTTTGAACTGGAAGCCTGCCAGGAGGTTCCGGGCAGAAGTGCCAGGAACTTCCGAGCAGCACTTAGGAAAAATTCGCTTTTGAAATAGCGCCCGGAAGTTCCAGCCAGAACCTCCGGGTAGCCCTCTCTGTCCCGGGGAGAAAAATCATTTTTTAGAAATGATTCCAAAAATATTTTGACTCATGGATATGACTAAGAGCACTTTGTATACCCTAGAACCACACTTGAAACCCCTCTTAATAGTACGGTTTTTCCTAAACTCAATTTCGAAAGAGAAAAACCTAGTCTAATCACCTTCGGTATTTTTCGCACTTAGGAACATTCAAATTGGGGGGTCTCCTTGCATTCTTAGCCATCACAACTTGCTTTGGGAGTAAACTCCTGTGAATAAACTTGATAAACACGTTAGTCCCCTTTAACCACCTTGTCATTAATCACTAAAACCCACTAGGGCGTTTAAGTGCACCTTCGGTTGTTTTGCTAGTTCTCTTCTCTCACTATCTCATACTCTGCTGTCCAATTTATTGGCTTGGTGTGTGGTGTGCTGCTGCCTGCTTTGGCACTACTATATGCCATGTGCTCTGCAAGCTTGTTGGTGTTGTAGGGCTGCACATGTGTGCTTGCTGCAAGCCCCAAAAAATGCTAGTGCTGCTTTTGCTAGTGTTGTGTGGAGGATCTAGTACTTTTGCTAGTGTTTTGTGCTATCTAGTGGTATTATATTGGCAAGTAGCCAAGTGCTGTTTGTTTTATTCATTTATCCTGGATGGCTTTTAGTGCTTTGTCGTTTGTGCCATGCAGCCATGCTTGTGCTGTGGTTTTGTGACTTTGTCAATAAAAAGAACTTGCCAACATGTAGTGTCCAGTCTTCATACAGCTCTTGCTCCAACTACCATTGCTGATGTCGTTGTCACCGCTACGTCATCATGCATAAGGCCGAAAGCAAATATTTCACTATTCGTCTTATTAAAATATTTTACATAATTATAATTTATTATTGAGTGAATTGCACTTTGGGCCGGTTATTATTGCCTGAGTTTTATTTTGGACTAGGTTATATCTAACGTTTTCACTTTGGTCCAGGTTTTCTTACCTTCTACTCCCTCCGTATTTTAATGTATGACGCCGTTGACTTTTTAATCAATGTTTGACCACTCATCTTATTCAAAATTTTTATGCAAATATAAAAATACTTATGTCATGCTTAAAGAACATTTGATGATAAATCAAATAACAATAAAATAAATTATAATTACATAATTTTTTTAATAAGATGAAAGGTAAAACGTTTGTCAAAAAGTTAACGGCGTCATACATTAAAATACGGAGGGAGTATTACACATTGGATCACTTTTTTGTTTGCCGCTCGTTGATTTCATTAGCGAGTTTACCCACAGCACAATAAACTAATGAATATTCCATCTGACCTTGATTTCTTTACTCCTTGATTTAGTTGCTTGTCTTCTACCATATTTCCCCTTAAATAATCATGTGAGCTTAGAACAAGTCACTGTATTGAGCTTGCAGGCGACAGCTACAGCAGCCAGCTACCACCAGGCTTGATCTTGTCGGTTCCTCAAGCTCGGGAACAGAGCAGAGAGAGAAGGAATCCTGGTGCTTTGTTTGATCATCCCTCAGTCAGATCCATGGCGCAGCTGCTTAATAGAGAAGAGGAGGAAAGATTGATGGAGAAGAAGGGTGGTCCAATTTGAAACTTTTATAAATTTATTAGTCCAAAGTTGCTCTTAGCCACCAGCGCCGTTCCAAGCCTCGTTCAGTCGTTCCTGCGAGCCCTACCGTGTGCTCACGACGCCACCAGTGCTCACGACGCGCGCGCGTCCGCATATGGCCACCGTCTCCGGCACCGACCGCCTCCGTGACCTCCACGCCTTCGACGACACCAAGGCCGGCGTCAAGGGCCTCGTCGACGCCGGCGTCACCACCGTCCCCTACTTCTTCCGCCACCACCCCGACCCCCTCCCCGTCGCCGCGCCAAGGCCGACGTCGACCTCGCCAAGGCCGACGTCGACCGGGGACGGGTGGTCGCCGAGGTCAGGGCGGCCGCGGAGACGGTCGGCTTCTTCCAGGTGGTCAACCATGGCGTCGCCGGGGAGCTGATGGAGGAGATGCTCGCGGCGGTGCGGCGCTTCCACGAGGAGCCCCTGGAGGCGAAGGTGCCGTACTACACCAGGGACGTCGCCAGCAAGGTCTGGTTCAACTCCAACTTCGGCCTCTTCCGTAACGGGTTCCGTTCGCCGGAGGCCAACTGGCGCGACACGATGTTCGTTGAGATGTTCCCGGAGGCGCCCTCGCCGGAAGAGATCCCGCCGCCGTGCAGGGGCGTGCTGGAGGTGTACGCCGCGGCGGTGCGGCGGCTCGGGGAACGGCTGTTCGAGCTGCTGTCGGAGGCGCTGGGCCTCCCCGTGGGGTACCTTGGCCGCGACGCCGGGTGCATGGACGGGCTGAGCCTGAGCGTGGCGGCGCACTACTACCCGGCGTGCCCGGAGCCGGAGGCGACGATGGGCGCGACCAAGCACTCCGACCCCAGCTTCCTCACAGTGCTGCTGCAGGACACCTCCGGCGGCCTGCAGGCGGTGCTCCCGCGGCCTCCGGAGGAGCGGTGGGTGGACGTGCCCCCGGTGGCCGGCGCGCTGGTGGTGAACGTCGGCGACCTCCTCCAGCTGGTGTCGAACGACAGGCTCCGGAGCGTGGAGCACCGGGTGCTGCCCACCGGCGCCGCGGGGCCGGCCCGCGTGTCGGTGGCGTGCTTCTTCCGCCACGCGTACGCGTCGACGAGGCCGTGTGTCCCGGTCGTCGTCGGCGGCGGCGGGGCACGGGCGGCGGCGGTGTACAGGAGCACGACGGCGGGGGAGTTCCTGGCGCACTACAACGGCAAGGGGCTCGACGGGCGGTCGGCGCTGGACCACTTCAGGCTTCCGGCGGCGGCGTCGTCTCCTCCTCCTCCGCTGTAGCTGGCTGGATGAATCCAGAGCTTCACGACGGATGATGGTCGTACGTCGTACGTGGCGATTTGGCAAACCATTCAACATTTACGTCAATGCTTAATTATTGGTTGGTTGGATGATGGGACAAATGCAGATATACATATGCCCAGATATATAGCGCGTTAAAACTAGTGATTTGTGCTAATAAATGTTAGATCCGATCCCCGTATTTAATTTCTTGTGATTTTGGGTTACAGTACTAATACATAATAAGCAACAGCAGGGATTGTGTATACAGTCACTACAACGTAATCGATTTTTGAGCATAAGATCCCTTAAGGCCTGGTTTAGTTTAAAAAACATCGCATCGAATCTTTGCACATATACATAGAGCACTAAATATAGATTAAAAAAATTAATTGCATAGTTAGGGGAAAATCATGAGACGAATCTTTTCAACCTAATTAGTCTGTCCGAAAACCCATTCCAAAATCCGGTCAAACATTCGATGTGACACTCAAAAATTGTCTTTTTGCGAACTAAACAGGTCAAAAACCGATCCTCTGAACCATATGCGAAAATCAATTTTCGCTAAAGAACCTCTTAATAAGCTTGCGCGGGAAAATAAACCAGTCTATTAAAAAGCCAGCATATGAAAATAACCCCTCTTTTTTCTCACCTCCACACTAGTACATAATTGATTTTTCCGTGCGATCAAAACCTATTTTTCCGTGCGGAGGTGTGTTTTTCGCTTCAACAGCAGGTAGCGCCCGTCTGCACCCAGGGGTCTACGAAATCAATATTTTCACGTTCAGGTTGTTGACGGTCATTATCGATTAGTTTTGCCCGTCAATATTACTAAAATAAATGAGAACTAGTTATGCTTGCAATGCATATTTGTAACCTCTTGCAGAGAATACAATACAAAATGGAGGAGAATCGGCAGCAAAATAGACGATCAATCAATCGGACGTCGTCGAGAATCAGACTTATAGAAAGATGGGCTAAGAACTCAGAAATGACACAACCAAACTAGCCCAAAATTCACAAGTCTACAGAGAGAAGAAGTTAAAGAGGCCGCCAGCCAAAATATAGGCTGGTTTGGTTGGCCCATGGTTCGGCCGAACCCCCATGAGCTCCGTTGGATGCAGGGTTTTGCGTTAACGGTGTGGATTAGTCCCCAATGACGGTTGGAGGGTATTACCGACCATTCCAACTATCACAACCGTCATTGGAAGGCTATATAAGGCCTTCATCTCCTCACTTGTTCCACACACTCAAGCAAGAAGCTTCTCATACTCTCTCTCAAGTTTAGTTTAGTGCTCTAGAGTTAGTGGAATAGAAATAGAATAGTTTCTTTAGTCCTCGGAATCTTCGAAAGAATTCGGGTATGGCTCTAGTAGCGCTTCCTTCTTTTGTAAGACTTATACTTATTATTAGGATATTCTTCTTAATATATTTACGAGACTTTGCTTCATTCTGATTATTCGAGTATCGACTTTCCGATATATTATTCGAGATATAATTGTCTAGCAAGCTTACTGGGGAGATGCATTGGTGTGGGTATAATATTCATTTATATGATTGCTCTAAGTCATGACGATGATTGTAGAGTAGTATTTGGTAGTATAAGCAAGGTGCTTAGGCTATTGAATATCATTATTTGGGGTTATATACTACGGGTCAGTAGAGGTGGGCCGCTGATGTTGACAGCTCAGTATGGGTATTCCTTCACGTTAGTATATAATCCTAAATTACTCTCCTGGTGAGGGTACTCCTTCGTATTTAGCCATGGTTGGATGGCCATGATGGGTTGTTATAAGAAACTCGGGCAACCAGGGGTGGTCTCTCAAAACACCAGAAGGGCATTGTAAAGGGGATATTGGCTATATAATTATATAGTAGATAAATTATCCAAAGCTATACTCCCTCCGTCCCATAATATAAGCGATTTTGACTTTTTTGCTTGTACTGTTTGACCATTCTTCTTATTCAAAAAATTTAGAATCATTATTTATTTTATTTCTGACTTATTTTATTATCCAAAGTACTTTAAGCACAATTTTTCGTTTTTTATATTTGCACAAATTTTTAAATAAGACGAGTGGTCGTACAGTGCAAGCAAAAAGTCAAATCTCTTATATTATGGAATGGAGGGAGCATGTATATTAGAAGGATAGAAATATATTTTTTTATTCTTTTCCACTTAGCCTAGACTTAGTATTTAGGGTTAATTGGATCCATACCACTGTAAATGTGGCAAATTAGAAAAATACCACTGCTATTCGTGATATCGGCGAGATGCCACTGAAATTTCTGCAAATTGGATCCATGCCACCCCGTTGCATTTTCCGTCCTTCCCCTGTTAATTTCCTAACTCCGTGCCGTCTTTCTACTTCGCCGTTGAAAGCGCCGCCGAACTCGACGACCAGCGCCTCTCGGGGGATGGTCTCTGGCCTCGACTTCGGCCTCCTCAACTCGTCCCGCCCCGGCCCAATCCGCCGCGGCGCCGCCGTCAAGACCGGCACGCGCGTGTTTGCGGACTCGAGGACCTCGACCCCGCCGCCTTCGAGTCGCCGTCTGCCGAGGAGGACGCGGCCAAGTGCCTGCAGTTAATTTGTCGACGAGTTCCATGGGAGGGGACGCGTGGTTGAGAGCAGCTTGCGGCGCAGCATCAGCAGCACAAAGCCACGGCCACTGTGGTGCAGCCCGCCGCCACCGCCGCCGACAACGACCACCGCCGGAATGAAGCTGGCTTGTTGCTGCTTGTAGACGATGGGCCACGACGGGCGACGACTTGGATGAGGTTACCGCGATTGACGATGAGGACGAGGAGACGGTGAGGATGAGCGATGCGATGGGGACGGGAAGAGGCGCCGTACGTGACGGGCGGCTTCAACGAGCACCGCATCCACCGCCAAATCCGGCCGGGCTTCTGCTCGGTGAATGCCAACCATTAGATGCCGAAACGGCTGTTGTTGCTTGATGATGCAGATCGACGACGAGGTTGCTACTTGATGCAGCTTGACGAGGGATGCTTGTGGCTGGCATGCCGGCAGCTATGGGACGACGGACTGGGATGGAAATTGGATATGACTGGTTGCTGTTGCTTCAAGATGAATGGGCCGACGACAGAGAATGACGCCGGTGAGCGTCATCCCGTCGTGCGCGTCGTCCACCACCACGGCGCTGTAGCGGGTGAGGAGCGGGTCGGCAGCGAGGAGCGGAGGACGACGCCGGCCGGCAACTCCACCGCTCCGCCTCCTCGACTGGTCATCTCCGTCCGCCGGCCACGACGCCGGCCGGCAACTCCGCCGCTCCGCCTCCTTGACCCGGCGGCTCCGCTGTCTGCCGCCCACGACGCGGGCCTCCGTGCCCTCAGCCTCTAGAAAGAGCGACGGGAAGGACGGAAAGTGTAACGGGAAGGATGGAAAACACGACGGGGGTGGCATGGATCTAATTTCCCAAAATTCCAGTGGCACCCAGTCAATATCGTGAATAGTAGTGGTATTTTTTTAATTTACCACATTTGCAGTGGCATGGATCCAATTAACCCTAGTATTTATGATAGAATGAGTTATTCGATCTGCTTCGTGTCACTCTACCCTTTAATTAGACTAACCCCTGCTCAGACTTTGATTATTACAAGTAACATATAAAAAATAACATAGTTCTCTCTATTATAATCTTTTCATGGGATTAAACAAATACGATACCCTTGGAATACTTCCAAGTGAAATACTACAATGGTTTATCCGTACGCTTGCGGATATGATCTGTAACCATTATGTACCATGAATATTTCTGGCGCCATTGCTGGGAGATATATTTCTAGTAATGACGTTGAGAAATACCAAGAAGTATGACCCAATCGCAAGTGATAATCGATTATCCCGTGCGATCAAGTTATACCATCCGCACGAAAAAAAACAAAAATAAAATAAAAAAAAAACCCGTCGTCGTCCTCGTTGCGCCGCCGTAGCTCCTGTCATCGTCACCGCCGTTGCACCGCAGCCACTCCCCGCCACCGTTGCTCGTGATCACCGTCATCCTTGTCTTCACCGTCGTCGCGCCGCTGCCGCTCGTGGTCACCGTTGTAGCCGTCGTCGCACCGCCGCCGCTCCTAGCCGCCGCTGCTCATGGTCGCTATCATCCTCGTCGTCGCCGTCTTACGCCGCCGCCACTCCCAGCCTCCGCCGCGACCGTCCTCCGTCTCCGCGCCGCCACCCATGCCGTCGGCGGTGGCAGCAAGGCCCCGTGCGCTCGGTGGGGAGGGGAGGAGAGGAAAGAGGTAAAGAGAGGAGAGAGAGATGGGGGAGGGGGATAGGAGAGGAATGGCAGAGAGAGAGGAGTGAGCGAGGGAGAATAAAAGGGAAAAGGAAGAGAGAGGTTGTGAAAAATTTGAAGTGGGTGAAAGGGAAAAGAGGGAGAGGTATTTTCCCGTGCAGTCCACCTAAGAGTCCCACACGCGAAAATTAATTTTTCCGTGCGGTCCTCTTAAGTCGACCGCACGGGGTAACGAGGATTATCCCGTGCGGTCGGATTAAAACACCAGCACAGGATAATGTATTTTCTCGTGCAGGCGACAGCCCGGCGCAGGTAGCCTAGTTTTTCTAGATGGCTCCACTTTCAGCCAATCTGGAATCTACCGGGGCTGGTGTCCAGAAAAATTATTTATGTACTAGTGCCACTCTCTCTCCCCCACTAAGGTTGTGATCAGGAGGTGAGATTGGGAACTCACCTTCCACGTACGTAAAACAGAGCGACATATTTTCTTATGATTAATTAAGTATTTATTATTTTTTTTAAAATATATTAATTTGATTTTCTAAGAAAAATGGTACTTTCCCTGACCTCAAGATCGACATTGACCTTGTTGAACCCCACCACCCGCTTGTCGCCGTGCCACCTGGGGCCACCGTCACCACAATGACCGAGGCTATGATGTTGGAGGTGATGGCGCTCGGTGCTAGGCGAGCTCGAGCTGGCGGCTCTTATTAGAGCAAGTATAATAGAGGGATGTAAGAAAGCTGAATGATGAGGTGGATGAGACAGGAGAGGAGAGATAAGAAATGGGCTGTAAGCTTACATCCAGCTTAGGCACAGTGTTGATGCGAAAAACACACACTGACCTGGAAGATCTGCTTAACTTCTGTGCAGATCCAAAATAATGCTCTTAGGTTTATGAGCATGCCAGTCGATTTGATCCTGCAATTAACAAGAATAAAAGAGAAGAAAACAAGGTTAAATCTATAAAAGATAGCAGATCGCCTAGAAGCCAATGACATATCGTTTATCGTCGAGCCGATGTTATTGGCATTAGATCGGCAATGAATGAT